GACAGACAGAGAGAGAGAGAGAGAGAGAGAGAGAGAGAGAGAGAGAGAGAGAGAAAGGTCGAAATCGAAACATTGGTAATAACAGGTTCGTAAAGGTGTCCTCCAACTAGAAGATAAAAATAAGTAAGCGAATATGTTATTAATATTCTGAGCACTGTGACATCACAAGTGACTGGTGTTATAATTCAATATATAAACGATATAATGCCAGGGAAACAAACAAATATATGCACGACGGGTCGCATTTATTTTTATCCTGTTACCTTGAATGCTTCGAAATCTATTCAACCATTGAGATAAATCAATGAAAGTCAACGCGGCAGTCAGTATGTTCGTGTTTTTTCATATTTAAAATTAACCTTCCCGGAACATGCAAGTGCAAGGCGGAAACATTTTATTGTAAATTTCCGTCTGACTTTTATTTGGTTGTACTATAAATCATGATGCATGTCGTACAGTGACGATGGTGTCACGATGATGAAAAATTCGCTGGGACGGCAAAAGTCCCATCCGCATGGCGAATTTCGCGTCGTTCTTTCCGCCTAACTTGCACCGTATTGATCGTTGCAATTGTAAACAGCAATTGTAAACAGCGATTTTGTTCAGTCACATCGTCGATGCTCGCGTTGAAATTTATTTTGATGCCTAATTTTAGACTACTACATATACACACACACACACACACACACACGCACACAAATTGAACCGAATTTATAGTAGATAGAATGTATGATCTTTTGGATATGGTGTCACATAAAAAACAAAAAAGAAATGAAAAAACGATTTATAGAATTTACATAGCTTCTGTTTCTTTCTTATTTTATCATACACGGGGAAGATTATCTCGTCGAGGTTATCATAATTTTATCAAGCAACTTGTATGCATTGCGTTCCTCCAGATCAGGAATATATTATAACGTGCAAATAATTGGATTGCCTTTACGACAACATTTAGCTGCTGACACAGCGACAGTAATTTTATGCAGCAACGGGGATAAATTTGCAATTATATAAGGACCATTTGCTATCTGTATATTCGCAATAAAAAATTCGCTACGCCAACAGAATATTCGTCGGGACAATCGATTCTTTTTTCCGCGTGACAACGTTGTGGCATTTTTCTAGTTTTAACTTGCCAACCTTGCATCTATTCGCAGTGACATCAATCTTTGATGCAACGGAGCATATCCAATTGACGCTTCCCGTATATTTGTTGGAAAGTTCAATTTTTACTTCTGACAAACAGAGAGAGAGAGAGAGAGAGAGAGAGAGAGAGAGTGAGTGAGTAGGGGGAAAGAGGAGAGGCAGATATCGTTTGTCACGATTTCAACATGAAGTTGCGTAAAGTTAATATCACACCGTGATAGGATAAATTTTTAGTTTTAGCTGTCTCATTTCGTGACATTATATTACGGATAATACAATAATGAGGTTAAATCGCGAAATCGCGATATAACGAAAGACAGATCAACATTTCAATGTGCCACCGGCAGTCAGTAACTTTCCACATTGCGCCAAATGATTTGGAAATGTTTTAAATAAACTCTTTTTTTCTTTTTCTTTCTCTTTCTTCTTTTTAAATAAACTCTTTCGCACAAGAATATTTCTAAAAGGACTCAAGCGGTCTGAAGCAATTATTAGGTGTCGAGATGAAAATCGGTGCCTTTTTCCGCAACATTTGAACTTTATTCACAACAAATCAAATACAAAAGTTTAATCCGTCGTTTTCTACGATTTTGTTCCGCCTATCAAGCAACTGAACCGAATACCTTTGTGTGGTAGAGTCTTGGCGGTTTTAGATCGATAAAGTCTTCGAGACTTTTTCAGACCTCTTCCTCATTGTCTTGAAATGTAAATCAGCCCAGTGATGTTGGAACAGCCGGAACAGGTAATACTCTAGTGGTCTAGCAGGTCTGTAGAATAAGCCGAATAAGGGAGAATTTTCCTGCCCAAAGCGTACATGACATCCTTCACTCCTTTGCGGCCCCCAGGCGAACGTTGTCGTGCTGCAAAATGACTTGCCCAGTTCCCTGGTCGGTCTTTTTTGCTCCAATGCATCGCTCAAACGGATGCGTTGCTGCTGATAGCGCTCTGTAGTAACAGTCTAATCAGAATCCAGCAACTCATCAAGTACACTACATCCTTTATTATATCCCATCAAATATCCCGGCAAAATCTTCTTCACGTGAATGTCGGTCGCTTCAGAGTCGATAATAATCGGTCGCCATCTGCTCACGATTTTTTTAAAGTCATTGCATAACACTGATTTTTCATCGAGCGCAATAATTTGGTGCGAAAACCCCCTTCTTTCGGACCGGGTCGATAAGATCATGTGAGGAACTTTCGCTCCCTGTTTTCCACGCATTGATGAGCAACTCCAAATTGCAGTGCGAGCTTCCCTTGAGTTTGGGCGGAGGTTCCATTCAACAGCTATGCGAGTACTTTATCCTCAAACTTTTTTGGTCAGCTCTTTTAGGATGTTCCCCCATTCGAAAGATCAAAATCTCCACTCCGAAACTTCTAAAAAACCTCTCTCCGCACGTTTTATGAGTCGCAGCAACTTGGCGCGCGGAGCGGAAGTCATTTTCGTAGCTGCAGGAGCGTTCTTGTTTAATTGAAGTACGAGAAAATACAATAGCTAAAATGGGGCTTAACGCGGGCGGCTTTCGGACGTCATCGTATTCGCTGTCCTTTTGTGAAGTTTTCTTCGTCTTGCAAAATGTAACAAGAGGGGAGGGGCGGGAAAACATTTAAATTAAACATGAACACTAGAAGGCATCGTGCACATGCGAATTAATTTACGTAGCTAATAAAAGAATATAAATTCGCCGTCATGACGCGGCGCATTTCGACGGGACGCCATTATTAAGACGCTAGTTACCGTGACATGACGACGCGACATCATCTTGCCGCGTTCTACCCGAGGCGCCGCCTGCTCGAAACTACGCGTAAAGAACTTATTCGATCCGTAACTTTACTCACATTCAACTGTGAACTGCGCCCTGCAAAACTCTCTATTAATCATTTTCCTTTTTCAATCTTGTTTACGTGCGTTAGTCGAACTAGTTACACGGTTACTAACTGCCACGGCAAACTTCCGCCTTGCAAGTCGAGTAGATCCGAGAAATAGTGGGGTGTGGGGGGAGGGGGGCGGGGCGAACGCGGGGGGAGGAATCACAAATCAGAACTGACAATACAACGAGTGTTTTGCCGGTTTTTGCAAATCGGCGAAAGCGCGTATTACGACGAGACGAGTGTAAAAATCTAATCGATCGTCGCGGCACTGCATAAAGCAGTGTTTCTTTTGTGACATTTAAATGCGTATTCTGTAATATAACGCACGGTGATACGCGCGCGCGCATCTCAAAGTGATTGAACAAATAATTTAAAAGTATTTTTATCATTAATTTCACTTGAAAAATTCTTTTATCGTTAATTCCAACATCTACGAAATAAATTTCAGGAATACTTGTCAGTACGAAGTCCGATTAAATCTTATTTTTTTCAGTAGTTATACCCGTGAAATATTAATGTGATGGTCGAGAAAAAATTCAATTTAGCAAAATTAATTTTCCCAACTTTTTAAAAACGCGGATACACTGCTGTTGCGCTAAATCGCATTTACATAGAGTAAAACGAGGAAGATTAAGTAAGAACAGAGTGAGAGGAGGAGAAGGAGGAGGTAGAACACACACAAGTCTGCACACACGTGTGTGTATGCGCGCGCATACGCAGTAAAATACTTAAAAATATTATCAAGTCAGCAAGCCGCATATAGGCGCCGCACAGTTTCAATTCGCTTACAATTCGCATCTCTGAAGTTTGTCTTATTTCGTATAATCTGTTATGAACCGCAGAAATAAATTAAATCGGGTGTTTCTTTAATCACCCTCGCTTCGCCATATCGTCATCGTATTATCGAGTTGAACTAGTTATTTAGTTATAACTCGCGAGTAACGCATCGTGAACTACCACAATTACCATTTGTTAGCGGTTCGTGATATTTTGTAACTCGACATAAAGGTGTTCAGGCTCTCAATAACGTATGCGCGACGAAAACGTAATGTAATTTGAAAGTCATGCGTCGGAATTGCATGAAACTTTCAGGAAGTGTTAGCGATATCGTTACGGATATAACGATGCCATTGCGGTAACCCTGCGGCGTCTCATTCCCCTATATATTGCGCAAACACTCAGGGTTAAGCGCGGTTAAACGTTGTTGCGTTTTCACGTTCCTCCTAGAAAATTAACCGAAGTCGCGGCGAATCGATCGATATTTGACGAAGAATCTGAAGAAGAAAAGAAAATTCAATGACATACGGCTATATTTTGTCAAATCTCCTAACAATGCAAATAAAGTAAAGAGAAAAATAACACGCGACATTATTTCTCGTACGACGTTCGCAATATTCGCAATTATTCGCAATTTCCACTCTCTAGATTTGCACTTTCCCCAGCATCAATCATGCAATATAGAATGTTCTCACTGCGATCGTATCGAGCGTCGACGTAAAAAATTTCAGTGTTTCCTTTCTTGCAATTACGCGTTGAACATAAATGATTCACTCGGCTAACATCGCTCGCGCATTCGACGAGTGTAAATCGGTCAAATGTAGTAGAAGCTCTCATTCTGATTCGCGGATTAATAAACTGCCGTAAATATCGATCGACCGCCTCGGGTTCATTTTCGTCGAAAATGCGAAACGAATACGGCTTGAATTGTACGTTTACGTACGCCGACGTAGAATAATTAAAAGGAAATTCCTCCGCAAATTTCAGCCCAGTATATATATATATATATATATATATCCATACTCTTCTGGTATAGTCGGTGCGCGGAAAAAATCAATTTACTTCAACCGAGTTACACCGAGCGGACAAAAAAAAGAAGGTTCGCGCGATTTTTCACCTCCAACGTCAGGATCGTTGGTACAGCTACAATTAGGGCGCAGCATCCTCGAGAGAGGCGAGCCTGTATGCTTTGGCGCTTACGAGCTTACCTTGATCGTGAATTGTCTGCAGAGCGGCTTGTAGGCGTTCGTGCCGCAAACGAGGAAGCGATCGGGGCCCTGTCTGCCAAATACTCGCACGTAGTTCTGGCACTCATCGTCGTTACGGCCCTTCAAGTAGCAAAGCTGGAGATGCGCCTCGGTGCTGGACCACTGCAATCTCTGAAACAGGCAAGATCGAGCAAACGTTACTAACCCTGCTACCCTCGACTGCTCGACTTCGCATTGCGTACACTACAAAGCGCGCGCGCGCGAGTTTGTGCAGTAAAATCCGATCAGAGGTCAACCGGAGATTAATAGCTCGGCATGAAAATTTCGACGGGTTTTAATCCCCCTGCCTTCGATAAGGGGAAAAAGAGAGCGCGGAGAGAAATTGGGAGATGGAAAAACAGAGGGAGAGGGGGAGGGTGTATCGCGGACTCGCGGTAATATCTGCAATACCTCCGGCATAGAAAATCCCCCGGGGTTCAAGTCCGCCTTTTCGAAATCTACGTAGAATCAAATTGGAAGTGTAATATTTCAGGTTCACACGATTCTAAGTGGGAACCGCACAATTTTTCCGATACTTTCTTCAGTTTACATTAAAATTTTACTCGCTCGATTTTTTATTCTATTAAATACAATACAATTGACGTAACGACAGGATTTCCTGCTATAAAAGTACATTGACATCAATTTCTGCAGAATTTCTCTCTCGATTCCGGACAGGAAACCCATGTTTAGAATAAGAACGGGATGTTTCTGTTGGTATCGCAATTGGGTAACTAATTTCGAGACAAATGTAAGAATTTTAATCTATATTGAATTTGGGACAATCCTAAGAAATTTCTACGTGGGTTGTGTGTCCTCTGTGCACTCACTAAGGACATAACTTAATCATTTCCTCGAGTCGCAGCTTAACGCATACGCAATTGCCGCTCTGCTACGGCGTGGATCTGAAATTGAATTTGTGAGAAATAGTGGTGATGACAATGACAATAATAATAATAATAACAATAACAATAACGTAGAGTCGCTTGAATGTTAAGACCGCGGCCTTAAGGAATAATTTGTGTCGCTTGCGTTAGCGCCAAGTTCTTGCGATGAGGTGAATTATGATAACGTGAAGCTGGGCATATCTTTTGTCGCGGTTCTCACCGAAAGAAACGACAATGGATGACAAATCCGTCGCGGAGAGCGGCGAAATCTCTTAAACCGCAGGACAACGCGTTCTCGATATAATAATGACAACATATCGACATTTGCGTTCCTTTCCGCGCGCGAGTGTACGCATTATTATTCAGACCAGCAAGAATAACGTAACATATTCCGTTATTATTCTTTACACTGAGATGCGTCAATGAATAACGATCAGTCCCTCGCTACATTAAGGGGCTACATTCTCCGACTTCGATCTACATTCATTCGGACTGTTTTAGACACGCATCAAAGTCATATTCTCTTATCCGCACGAGTACCTCCCCCCCCCCTCCGCAACGTTTCGTAAACTGCGAATACTCGAAAAAATGCTGAGGGTTGTTTTTAAGCCCCGAGAAATAGGATCTTCGAGTTCACGTCGGTTCGCGATGTATAAACACACGGTACAAGAAAATATTTTCACGTTAATATTAAACACACACACACACACATTTCCATATATTTATATGACATTTTATAATGACGTTGTATAATATTTCAGAGAGAATATCGGATGATGTCGTTCTCGATTTTATTTGACTTTCGCACGAATCTAACGTGTGATAATTATCACTGCAGCTGTTGCTGATGATTTTACAGACTGCGCAAAAAAAAATAGAGCAGAGAGCAGATTCGCTCCTATAAGCAGCTATATATACTTTACGGATGCAAAATGCGAGGCGACAGCAATAACTGCTGCTCCGAGGGCTGCTAATCCGACACGGTGCCTCTCTGAGAACAGCGGCAATAATACGAGGTTAACTGTCGCGTAAATTACAAACGGCAGCGACGCGCGAAAACTCGCGCGAATCAGTCTACAAGAGAGAGAGAGAGAGAGAGAGAGAGAGAGAGAGAGAGAGAGAGAGAGAGAGAGAGAGAGAGAGAGAGAGAGAGGGGGGTAATAGTATGGACGGAGAATGGAACGTTGGGCGTTTTAAGAAAAATCGAAAGGCGAGGAGGAAGTCAAGCACGTACTTCTAATTATAGGACGTTTTATTATCCGCTCGGCTTGCCGAATCAAAAATCAAACGGTGCTCGCCGCGTTACCGTGACTTCGCGTGACTCCCGGTGTCTCCTTGTTTAAACCGACCACTGTAGCCTCGAGGCAACGTCGAGAGAGAGACACGGGGTATACAAAACAACAGGAAGGAGACGAGCGAACGCGCGCGAGCGCGAGAGAGAGGAAGGTAGGGAAGGTAGTAGAGTAGGTTACGACAAGGAGCTGCAGCTGCATACTGCTAAGTAGAAATCCTTGAACGAGCTATTCAGCTCCTTCCCCGGCGCTATATTATATCTTTAAGACGTCTCATGGCCGAGCGGGAAATTCCAGTTTCCACGATAATTTCGGGCGGTCACGCCTCTACAAGAGAGAGAGAAGCTCGCGGAGAATCGCGATTCTCGTCGACGAGAGGAATCTCTTCTTTCGTCGATGTGCGAAAAGAGTATCAAAGGTATGAAGTTGCGTCGAGACTTCTTTCCCACCGCACGGCAGTGATTTACTTAATCCGTACTCGACCCATCGAAACCTGATTATTTTACTTTGAAAATTGTCGATCAGGAATATAAGGATGTACAAAACCGAGGAGAATAAGAAAATCTTATTGTGGAAAATTATAAACTTAACTTTTTATGAAACGCTACTGATAGATCGGTAAAAATATTTTTGCTTACAGAGATATTAGGTTGTGTAAATAAGTAATCTCGGATTTTTCAAGTAAAACGGAACGATTGTATTTTTATGTCATTAAAATTTGACGAAATAATGCGCGCGCCGTTTTGATCCATGATATTCTGCTATCTTCCTAGTCGCTTCATGAGTCGCTATTCAAAAAACTTTCCTGGCTTTTCAGCGGAGAACTACTTGAGGTGGTTTTTACAAATCTCCAAAGGATCCAATCTTTTATACTGAGGAAATTTTGCAGCGACCTAAATGTGTGAGTATTCTAAAGCTGCTATTTCTGAAAAATATGAGTAGGTAAATACGGCGGAATATCCTAGCCAAACTGTAACAATTTGTGCCGTGGTTATCAAGGCAGACACGAGGTCTGGCATTGTCATGATGAAAAATGACATCCTTCCTGTATCGGACCAGTTTTGGATGCTTCTTTTCCACATATTTGCCTTTAATTTATCGAGTTGGAGTGGCGATATTTGTTGGAATAAAGCGTTGGTTCGGCGAGATGAGTTCGTAATATACGATATCCTTCCAAACCGACCATACGCAGAGCATTACCTTATTTGGACGAAGACCGGCTTTTGCAATCGTATTCATCTCGTTTGCTGCAGGATCTTTTACGTTCGACAATATTATAGACAATTCATTTTTCATCGTCCACCATCAGAAATGTCTCTTTTATTACACGTCTTTTATTACTCATTTATCAACATGTCGCCAGATATTGATACGATTCATTAAATTTTTCTTCGACGAGTCACGCGGTAGTCAAATAAAGTAAAAAACATGCGTATCTTATTTTATTTTATATGTAATATCTTATTTAAAAAATTTTTCTCCACTATCAATTAATGATATATGTATATATATATATATATGTGTGTATGTGTGCGTATAATTAAATTAAGCCCATATACAATTAATTACATATTTCATAATAAACTAAATGTTTAATCAAGAGATGTTTAATAAAAAATGTTTAATCAAAGCAACGAAATAATAATATTTCTAATTACCCGAAAAAACAAAAACGCGTACGATTCAAGCATTATTTCATAAAATAATTTATTTACGGAAATATTACAGATAAAATAAATTACGCGCGTGAATTAATAAAATAGAGTACTCTTGTTAATCTTAACAAAATTGATTATATCGCCGAATCGTATCAATTACATCACGTGATGTAACTGGCGCGCGCGTGGCAGATTTGATTAAATTAACCGAATTTATTCAATCACACATTAAAAGATTATTAACTGCGCACGCAATTAAAATAAATGATTATTTGACTGAAGGAAATGGAATAAATATATATATATATGACTGGATCAATAAAGTCCTTTTAACGGTGCTGTACTACTGCGGCGTTACGTATCGGCGAGGTATCGAAACAATAGCACGGCGTATTTGTATCAAGAAGATTCTTTTTGATTGGACCGATGGTGATGTTGATACAACAGCGTTTTTTTCTCCATCGAGTATACGATGTGCATCGTCCCGGTTGCAACGAGCAGGGTTAATCGAGAGTGACAGTTGGACCCGGGAGATCGGATAATGAGGCGCATGTTGCGCGACGAGATAAGCGAATTATGCGCCGGCCAGGTAAATTAGAATATTTCCCAACGCCGTGATCTTAAATCTACGTGCGTGGGTCTTGGCCGCACGGGATCCCTGGGTTTTTACTTTCGTTCGGTGGTGTGTTTTGCGTAACGGAGATCGTCCGTTAACTCTCGATCCTTCCTTTGATTCTCAGAGTACCGAAATGAATAGTATACATTAACAACAGCCCTTTGCGCGGAAAATCGAGCAACACCGTAAGTTCGATCATACGATCAAAATGGATGCGTTCACCAAGCTCAACAGTTGCACAACAGTTGAACATCCAATGAGCGTAGTGAGCGATGAGTGAACAGTAGAAACGTACACTGAACGCAACTGATCAGAGTTCCGCGCGATTTTGTTGCGTGGAAGAAATGTCAGGTAAACGTACTAAATATTACGGCCCGTCTACACGCTTATGTGTCTTGCAATTATTAAGTATTTTTATAAATATGATTCATTTCTACACCATCCTTGACTTGATTCCCCGCTATATATATTTGGATTTATATGACTATTTTCTTTGTTATTTTCTTTATCTCATGGGCTTTATTCATGGGTTGGATCCGGAGACTGATCAGTGAAGGTAGCGACGAATATTTACGATGAGAAAAATGGCGACCGCTCGCTCAACAACATGTTGAGCGAGTGAGCGCATCGCTCAGTAGCGTTCAGGACGAAATCACTCAACAGTTGCACAACCGTTGTG